CTTTGTCCACAAGAGCAGCCAGCCCTTATCCCTTTCTCTTTTTCCCTCCCTTGGTTTCTCATTGCCCACTCTCCTTCCCCAGCAAACCACTTTTAACAACAATGGATCATTATTTATGAACCACTTATTTTTCCTGCCCCCTGTTGTTGGTCAGAAAACTTCAAAGTCATAATTATGAACATATTATAAAGATCTCAAATTTGTTCCATTGTTCTGGGATAGAACTTGGGATTTTTTTTTTTTGGTAAATAAAGTGATCAAAACTTAAGTATTAGGGCAGTACCTATGGCTCAAGGAGTAGGGCACCAGCCCCATATGCCAGGGGTGGCAGGTTCAAGCCCGGCCCCAGCCAAAACTGCAAAAAAAAAAAAAGCATAGAATTGAGGAGAAGGGGTGCATAAAATCACACAATGCACACTGTCTGTGTCATAGTCACACTGTTAACTTTGACTCAAACTGTACAAAAGCAATTCATGTAGTCAAAACATTTGTACTCCTGTAATACTCTGAAAATTAAAAATAAATAAATGGAAGTACAGAATTGGGTTCCATTTCATATTATGGTCAATATAGGCCTTCAAAATGTGAACTGCATTTAGTAGATGAGAAAAGGTTCGGTGAACTAGTGTTATTTTTTTCTGGGAAGAGTAGTAAGTAATGGTAGTTAGAAATTTAAAGTGTCTTATTAACACACGTTTTCCTGTCTTCATAACCAGAATAAAAGATGTTGGACTTTACCAAATGAAGAATTGTTATTAGCTATGTATGAACAATCTTGTTAGAATAGAAATTGATCTTAAAAATGTGAACAAATTACCTAGAGATTGGGAGAGCTTCACTCTAGGTCTTCGAACACCAGAAATGGTGTGGAGAATGAAGCTGCTTTGAGCAGAGGAGTGGAGCTGGAGTCTCTCAGCCACCTGTAGGATGACAGCTTCCTAGGACATGACTGTTAAAGACATGCAGTGTGTTAATGGAGTTATTTTCCTTTATCTAGGTGATAAAGCTCTTACAGTCAAAATACCATTATAAAGAAGAGGCTGAAATCATCTGTGATAAAGTTCAAGTTAAACTCAGCAAGGAGTGTTTTCACCCTTATAGTACGTGCATTACTGATCTAAGGACTGCACACTGGGAAGAAGCAATCCAGGAAACAAAAGGTGGTGCAGCCAACAGGAAACTGGCTGAAGAGTGTTACTTGCTATGGAAATCTACACGTCTCCAGCACATGACACTGGCAGAGGATGTCAGAGCTATGCTCACTGAACTCCGAAAGGAGGTCCGCTTGCTGCTACTGACAAACGGGGACAGACAGACCCAGAGGGAGAAGATCGAAGCTTGTGCCTGTCAGTCCTATTTCGATGCCGTTGTCATAGGTGGAAAGCAGAGAGAGGAGAAGCCAGCACCGTCCATATTTTACTACTGCTGCAACCTCCTTGGAGTACAGCCTGGGGACTGCGTGATGGTTGGTGACACTTTAGAAACCGACATACAAGGAGGCCTCAATGCAGGGCTTAAAGCAACAGTCTGGATCAACAAAAATGGAATAGTGCCACTGAAGTCCTCCCCTGTTCCACATTACATAGTTTCTTCTGTGCTAGAGTTACCTGCCCTCTTACAAAGTATAGACCGCAAAGTCAGTATATCTGCTTAAATCATGTGGACAGGCCTGATTACGAATGTTAGCATCAACTTGCAGCGTTTGAACTAAGAAAGGTTAGGGCATTCCACTTACTATGGTCCAATTTTAAGAATAATTTTACTTGTGCCAGTATTCTGAAGGTCCTCCCAACCCTGTGGCTTTTAAGTATTGACAGCCAACCATAGACTGGTATTTGTATCTGAAAATTCAGATCCCACAATACAAGTCAGTAACATAGCCCAGAAAACTTAAAGAATTGTTGTTAGTCTGTGACTAGAGATTTTTAAAAATTCTTTCATTGACCTTTTAGTATCTTGACTTGGTCATACCAAGCAGGATAGCTTACATGTGGATGCACAAATACAACTTTTGTGTTCTGGTTGAAAAATAGATATTTTTTAAAAAATAGATACTTTAAAACATAATAGAGATCTCTCAGAGCAATTGGATCTAGTTAATGTGAAATAAGTACTAAGTCATGCAAATCAAAGCATTTCATAGTAAAAATATTTTGCATGTTTTCTTTTTTAAACTATATTTTTGCCTACTTTGGATGTTTACTTCCTTTTCTATTAGGAATCTGATTTTTGTGCATGACCTTTTTGGGAGGTGGGGCAGTTTTTCTGTGATGTAGACATGACAGATAGTCCTCTAGTAAAGCTGCTGAAACCAGCCCGTGGTGCTCCTTCACCATGACATTCTCGTGCCTTCCCATAGTGAGTGTGCAGCTGGAGTCCCTTGCAGTCTCCCTCTTATGGAAATACTCTCCCTGCCTTCTCCCACAAATGGGGTTGAGGGAACTCTACTGTCTCGCTGGGGACAAGTATGAGCCACATAGCACCAAACTCATTTTCCTCTGTGGATCCGCAGGAGGACAGTTGCCTCAGTGTGGCCTGCTGCACAACCTGTTCGCTGGCAGAATAGTCTACCCATATGACAGACCTAATAGAAAATTAGCTTTTGCTATAAGCCATTTCCAAGGTGCCATTTTAGTACTCGAGTAACTCTTGTTGGAGTTACCATCTGCCTTAAACTTTTTTTCACATTTTTAGAAATAGATTACTGTTCCACCTATTTCTGTATCTGATTCAGGGTTCACTTGGAGCTGGTAAGTCTCCGTCGCAAGGCATCATCTGGTGACCAGAAAAGCTTCCCTAGACAGTTAGGCTGCACAGTCTCAGGAGTGTACTAACCTAACTTGGAATAAGATCAGTAAGAGATTAAAGTGGCTAATAAAGAAAACGTGATTTGAGGGTTTCAGGAGAGTTTTTAAAAAAACTAGTAAAAGAAACTGCTAATGTAAAATGTTAGACTATAAATTAGGATTATATATATAGCTATGTCTTCAAGACTGATACTCAGATTCAAATTCTAGATCGTACCATTGTGAGCCTATTTCTTTAGGTAGTTGTTTTCTGTCTATTACCAAGAAACAAGATTCTCTGCCTTGTGCAAATGCCCTTTTGTGTTTACTGCTTATTCTTGATTTTAAAAATGTGATTGTGCCCTTGACTGTCTCAGGGTGCTGTCAGTGTAAAAGTGAACATTTGTGAAAAGGATGTGTTCATAATTCCAAGTACGTGCCTGTATGTGTACCTTGATTATATTTACACTATTTAAAGCTCAAGTTGGAGGATTTTGCCCAACGTAATCATGAACGTGATCTCTAGTAGGTTGATTGGTGTGCGATGCTGAGGGTGGGTCCTTTTCGCTGTCCCACGGGATGGGTGTAGGCAGCGTCACATTCACTGTGCTAATTGGTGAGGTTCCTTGCTCCTACATCATGGTGTCAAATCCTCAACAAGACACCTCCTGGCTGTGAAGTGAGCAGGTCAGCAAAAGTTTTATCTAGGAGGAAAAATGGAATCACTGACTTTCCTTGTCTTCACAGTGTGTATTCTAATTCTACATAGCACAGAAATGCAATATTACATTCCATCTGCACCCTTCCTCAGGGAAGGACTTTGTGGTTTTCTACCTTCTGAGTGGAATGTTACAGAAGATATTTTAAAATATTGGCATAAACCTATGATATTAATATTTTTTGTCTTAGAATAATATTCTTGAAAATAAAAAATGTTATAACAGTGATGTTTATCATCTTCATTTTTATCAAACTTTCTCCCTAGTGGCATGCTCATAGGAATCCGCCAAAGCCTCCCCCTAACACTGCACCACAGGGCGTGTTCTGAACGCGTGTACATGTCCACCCACTGTGCACGGCATCTTTGGGTCGGGGAATGCCCCAGACCCAGTGGGTGCTGAGTAAGTACTGCAGGGAGACAGGATTTACAGTTACCGAAGTACTTGGTTTACCACTTTCAAACTTTGTTGCAACCTACATTAAGAAACATTTTCCATCATAACCCTGTAACCACATTTGTAATAAATATTGATACATGGTGCATTAAATAGTTTCATATATTTAAGTTTCTAAAACTTATCCTCACTATGTCTGATGCTCAAATCTTTTTAATTCCATTCTTTTTTAAATTAGGGAATATACATACTTTAGTTCATTTTTGAAGTTACTATTTGTAGTACACAAATCAAAAAAATAAAAGGGTGAGTGGTGGAAAGACTCATCTTTTTCCCAGGGAACCACAACCCACCTGCCCTGAAGGTGGCTGCTGTTAGCAGTGTTACCTGTGTCTGCACATAGATGTTTGTAATGCTATAGAGAATTTCTAAAACTTAGGCAGATTTTATTTTCTTTTCAGTTTTAGGAAATAATGTTCTTACTATGATAATGCTTAAAGGAGAGTCGTGATACTTTTGTTTAAGCCATCTGTGTTTAGCATGACATTGCGGGTCTCAGCCATACACGAGATCCCTGTGGCTTTCCGCAGTACAAGTGATAGTTTAATGTACCTGTCAGTTCGCTGCAAGAGGAAGGTTGGTTCAGCTGTGGTGCCCGGTAGTCGCTTCTCCAGCTGTGCGCATCACATCCTGGTCGCTCCTGCCTCCTGCAGCAGATGTCCTGTTCTCTGTGTCCTGTATACTCCCTTTTTGGGTTTGTTCCTTCTTTGGTGGCATTCGCCATTGATTACATTCCCTGTACATGTGTTGAGAAGCAAAAGATACTTTCAAGTTTTTTGAGATCTTATGTGACTAAACATATATTTATTCTCTTCTCCCATCATTGGCAATTAATGGGTTGTATTGGATATCATTTTTGTTCAGAATTTTAAAGGCATTGGCCCATGTGTGTAACCAGTTCCTTTTCCTCCCGTGGTCCATGGTGATGTATCTTGGTGGCTGTGTTTCCATCCTATGTGCTTTCATCAAAATCTTTGGTGTTCTAGACCTCACTGATAATTGCCTCCCCTGTTTTTGTTTCCTTATTTCTCTTTCTAGAAGTCCTGCTGTTTCAATGGGATGTCCTTTGCTAACCTTTGGTTTGTTTTGTCTCTTCTGTCACGTTTTTCCATCTCTTTAATTATGTTTGAGTGGAATATCATCTCTCAAAGTGTTTTTAAAGCCGAGCATAGTGGCTCACACCTAAAATCCCAGCACTCTGGGAGGCCAAGGCAGGAAGATGCCTTGAGCTGGGGAGTTTGAGAACAGCCTGAGCAAGAACTAGACCTAGTCTCTACTAAAAATAGAAAACTAGCCAAGTGTGTTGGCAGGCGCCAATAGTCCCAGCTACTTGGAGGCTGAGGCAGAAGGATCCCTTGAATACAGGAACTTGAGGTTGCTGTGAGCTAGGCTGACAATATTGCACTCTACCTGGTGGAGCAGAGTGAGTCTCTGCCTTTTTTTTTTTTTTAAATTGTTTTTATGTTTTTGAAGGATACATTATTTCTTCCCAGCTTCTCTTATCTGTTTACTTTATGTTCCTAATAGATGCTTTCCCCAAATGCCCATTAACCCTTGGTTATTCCCGATTAAGCAGGGACAGAAAAAAATGCTGATGGGAAGTTCTGCACGAGACAGGGGGCTTGTTAACTCAGAGCTTCCCAGATACTATGGAGTATCTGGGTGGGCTGTTAGTTGAGGGCCCCCCCCTTCCCAGGTCAATGTGTGCAGGTCTTTCCTCTTGGTTTGTCTGGTTTCCTAGAGAAAAGTCTCCCAGACTGGAGAGGAGAGGTCTAACATCAGCATGCAGGAGCTGGGTGGTGGCGGCATGCAGATGGCCACCTCCTCTCTGTTTCTGGTTGTACCTGAGCCTCACTAAGCCTGGGAATCCCCCAGTCTGAAGACCCTCTATCTTACGTCCTCAAGAAGCATCCCTGTGTCTGCTGAATGAGGATATGACGTTGCAGTGGAGGCAGGGATCTATTTGTACCGCGAACACCTTCTAACCCAGCCAGTTGCATTCAGGGTGTGGCATCTGGTGGCTCAGCAGTGCCTGCCCTGTAGCTCCTCCCTGCTCAGCTCTCCCCACTGCTGGTCTAGACGCAGCTCTCTCTGGGTCTGCTGAATGCTTTGCCACTTGTCCATGTGCTTTCCAGTTTCCAAAACTTCGTTGTAGCTAGTACCTTTCTTGGTCATTGTGAGTCTGTGTTTATTTGTACATTTAAATGCCTTTACTGCAGTTTTAGTTGAGTTTGGCATAGAAGCTATCAGATGTATACGTCCATCTACTTCCGTGATAGGGAAACTTTTCCATTTGGTTATTCCATGTGAGTTAAGACCAACAAAACTGGTCGTGTCCCCTGTGGTCACTACATATAACTTCAGAGATGCTCATTTGAGGTGGAAATTTACAACATGCCTGTAGCTTTCTTTTCTATTTTTTTTGTAGTTGACGGGGGCTGGGTTTGAACCCGCCACCTCTGCTATATGGGGCTGGTGCCCTGCTCCTTTGAGCCACAGGCACCGCCCAGTAACTTATTTGTCTTGTAATTTGTTTGAATTATCCAACTTTCTATTTTCTCTGTACTCTTGTTTATGTTACCCTCGGCTCAACTCTGATGATGGAGTGTAGTGGCACAATCATAGCTCACTACAGCTTTATACTCCTGGGCTCATTATGATCCTGCGTTCTGGCATTTTCAGCATTGCATGGGTGTTTATTTTGATTGGCACGTTTGCAGTCTAATCAACATCAGCAACTATGGTGCTATAATCAATTCTTAGATTATTCTTTCTTAGATTTCTTTATAATCAAAATCCTTCTGACATTAGATTTATATTTTTGTTTCTATTTTTTTTAGACTTATACTTTTAAAAAGTTAACTTACTCCTAGCAGTAGGACTAAAGTTTAATCAGAATGTAGCTATATTTTTTTAAACCAGACTTCAC